TCAGATGTTTAGAGATTGTCAGATGTTTAGAGAGAATAAAATATCAGAAAGTAGTGATGTTCTGTTGCATCGAGTCTTTATCAGATCATCTATATATACACGTTAAGTTTTTTAAAATATTCTTACGCATAATGATGACGATTCATTAGAAACTGTTTACTTGAACCGAGTCATTTAAAACGATTTCCATTATCCGTTATATATATATATATACATATATATTAAATATAAATACAATATGATCACAACCACTAAAAAACAAATTATCTATAACTTTATAATTTTTTAAAAATATAACAAAACACAATCTATATATGTATATCTTCTTTCTATATGATTGAAAAAATTGTTTTAATTCGAAGACAAAACATATGTGTATATTAATGTTTTCATACCGATAAATCATTGTTAAATTAAGGAATTCATGATTGTATTATTATTTTTTATTATTATTTCGATATCCGAATATAATTTGGTTATTAAGGTAGCTAAAAATGTATATATACTGGACTCATTAATCAATCATGATTTAATATTATTGATATAGGTATACCAGATATTATTAAGCAAATAAACATCTAAACATTAAACGAATCTAAATCTCTACAAAAATATTACTGATTTTGATTTTTCTGAAAAACCATCAAGACTAAACACGATTGTGTCCATATCGTAGAATATCTTTACTATCACGATCATAAAGTTTTTTATAAGGTCTTGGAAAAGACAATTATAGTTAGAAGTCTATTGAAAATTTATGACGATAGTCAGTACGTTTTCCTGTGACAAATAGTCGAAGTATATATATATTTCCTAATATGTTTACCTTAGGCAAGTATCCTGATCTAAAGTATGTTTACTTTAAGCAATTACTCTGACTATACCAAAAATAATGCAAATATTTTCCATAACAGAAGCCACATAAATCTTATAAAAAGGACATAGCCTGACATCGAACCTAACAATATGAGCTATATAAAACACATATAATTCATAAAATATAGTTTGATAATACATCACAAAATTATTATATAAACAATAAGAAAATATTAAACAAAAGCACTGATCTTAGTTTTAAAAGCAGGCATAAAATTACTAAGTAATGAGTTCGATAACACAAAGAAGAAACAGTGTAAATAGAGAGGCACAATAGAGGAAGTCTACAAATAACATCAAACAGTCGATGCTCTCGTCCGTAGTTGGTTTCGCCTACGAAAGTGATAAAAAGTCAGTACCAAAACGTTTTAATAAACATTGAAACAATAATATATATAGACCCCAAAATTTTAAATACTCACGTCGCTCTAAATGCATCAACTTCTGCATCGATAGGATTGTACAAAAAATCTGAGCATAGATCATTATATCGGAGAACCACAGACTTCTTATCGACTCCTAAACAACAATAGACAAAAGTTTTATTCAACATTCAGATTTTAAGACATATATGAGGAAATATGTATATACCTTGGCCATTTGTCATCTTCCAGAACCTAAACACCCAGACAACCGATTCACATGTGTTTCTCAGATATACATCATGGAGATTTATTGCTAGAGAACCACGGGCGTAACATGCTAACCGACCTTCTCTTCTGCCACAAGAAAAAATAATACGAAAATTAAAATATTTGGTTAAGACTTTATATGTTAACATTCTTTTACATATAAATCAATGGACATGATTCATAATACCGTGCATCTACTATCTCAAATCGGAGATAAGCGAGATTCTCTTCATAAGCATCATTACTTGCATTGCAGAGTGGGCCCATATTCACAATAGTTCCCATAACGTCTGATAATAAACGTAATAATAAACTGAATTTAAATCTATTACAAAACTTAACATATATGTTTAAAAATTATCATGCACACCGATAAACTTGATTAATTCTTATAAAAAGTTAAAGATGAAATTCTTACCAATCAGATAGTCAAAAGGAATGGCTCGATCCACAATATCATAAAATCAGAAGCAATGGAGATACAAATTGTACGACCTCGTTCGAATAGGGGTGATAATAGTGACAAAAGTTAACTGCAAACGATGTTTATTGATCGTTGTAAGCATTGATCCAATAGCTTATTTAACATGAAAGTTGAAAACCCGAATCCACTGTCCCTGTTTGATTTCTTTCCAGCGAGTGGGAAACTCGTTTGGCATAGTGGTTGCAGCGATCCGAGTACCCTAGAAAAATAACACAGCCAAAAATAATCATTGAATAATAAACAGAAAACATAAAAGAATAACTTCAAAAAAGACACATACTTTGATATCAGACAAAACCATCTCGATAGTATTTCCGAAGAATGTTGAATGCTTCCAGAGCCTGACAACCTTGACAGATATTAACCACCCTGTTTTGTAAGTATCCAAACATGCAACATTGACAACATCAGACATTTTAGAAACTTTTTTTTTTCTTCTTTTCGTTCGATAACTCTGAATAAGTTTTATAAAGAGGAAAACTAAAAGTGACGGAGTATGAAAAATTGTGTTAAATATGAAAAGGACAGACTATGCAGTTGAATATGCAGTTATTCTTTCTTATAAATTCATTTTCGTTTGAATTATTTTAAAAGAAAAAATTTGAACAGTTACCATTTAAAGCTCCTTATTGTCAAAACCAACAACAATACACTAATTTATGTCAAAACACTTCCATATTGATATTGACCGATTTGTTCGTTTTACGTGCCAGAGAGAATATATTCCATGTTTTAAGTTTCACTAAAGATACACGCAATCTCAATAAGTAAATATACTATTTTACTAAATATAAAAATTTGCTAAATTGCAACACTTTCCATAAAATAATATGATCTCTCTCTATAGCTTTTGTTATTTGGACAATTTTATGTTTCAATATTTTAGGAAATGATATATTCATACAACATCATAACAAAAATGACATTTATGTAGACTTATATGTTATAACCTTATGTATCTACTTGAGCAATTATCCTTAAAATTATATGAAACAGGAAACCTGGAAAGTCAAACGGTTAGGTGCAAACATAAAGTCGCATAATCTTCTCCATAAAAAAATTGAAAAGTGTGACAATTGATTATTATTGCACACCTTATAAAGACTGACTTGAGGTTTTCTTTTCAAAAAACTTTAAAATATTTTATAAGTAGCCTTATCGTTTCGGAGAGCATTCATAAGAACATGGCGAACACAAACAAAAAAAAATTCGATGAAAATGGCTTGTTGATCATCAATCCCCCACCATTGGTAATGAGATTCGGTGTCGTGGAACCTAAGTCACCACCTTCACCAACAGATTCCGAGATAGAGCAAGAAGAATTATGGGAACAATTACATTTATTCACCGCATCAAATCAGAAAGCCAAACAGAACACTCCTCAGGTAATACATCCTATTCACTAAAGTTTATTTTAATCATGACTTACACAATGAATTGTAAAATCTGTATATTCTACTTATGGAGGATGACAAAGGCAACACATCTAATGAGACACCCCAATCAAGTTGCACAAAACGAAAACACGACCTGATTCTAGATCTGAAGATAGGGTTGAAGTGCATGCGTTGCGGTTTTGTGGAGACAGAAATTCGACACATGGATACCGCCGAATGGGTACGTAATCAGAAATATATTTAGATTCATAATGAAAAGTTGTCTAAAATCTATGTTATTGAGTCATTATATTTTGTTATTGATTGCCCATTGAACTCTATGTTTTAGAAATAATTCATGTTTAAATATAATATTGAGTTAGTTTAAAGCTATATAATTTACAAAAATCTAAATTGGATTGTTTGTGTCTGTGCTTAAAGGGAGAGGAGAAGGAACGTAAAAAGAGGAGGTCTGGAGTTTAATCAATAACCATATCAGTTTCAAATCAATTTCATGTTTTTTTTTTCCTGTTTGCAATGACCACTTTAAAGACAGTATGTACTTGGTTTTATTTTCTAAAAACTATTAAGTTTATTTCGATGACATGATAATTTGGTTTTGGAGCATTCTCGATATTTACAACTACGTGACAATGTTCATCATATGAAATGTCAATAAATGCTCAATAATATGCTACAATTTAAGTTTTATTAAAATATGTTATCGAATTGAGTTTGTCATTGGAATATCCGACTACAGTTAAACGTCAGAGATCAAACCATTAATACATCACATCCAACTTAGTGAAAAATCGAAAAACATCAAATCTATTAAAAACTATAAAACCGAAAGTAATGGTCTTATATAATAAAAAGAACTAACATATTTCGAGATACATAGAGACAACAAACCACAAAACAAAACACAGTAAAAAGAACTATCATATCTTGTCAAAAACCTCCTTGTAGACGACATTCAATGTTTTGTTTTGTGGTTTGTTGTCTATATCGGTGATCAATATCTTCAAACCTTCTCTGGATGTAACCCTCGATACAGCGACATAGAGTTGCCCATGAGTAAATACCGGCCTTGGAAGATACAAACCAACCTTTTCGAGTGTCTATCATTGGCTTTTATTTATAGTCATTGCAAAAGCTAATGTGATAGGAAACTGCTTGCATCTCATTCTGAAAGGAAGCTTCATCTCCGAAGGAGAGAGGAATATTCTAGGAATCAGTACCTTTTCACCAACCTTGCTACCTGTTATTATCTGAGCCTGGAGAACATAATTAGCCATCTTAGTAATGATGAGCCTTGTGCCATTACACAACCCATTCTTAGGGTCGATATAGAGTACCCTCTCTCAACTTCAGGACATGATTAGGAAAACCAGACATCTTGATACTATTTAAAAACTCCTCGGTATAAATCATATTGTTGGAAACACCTTTATTCTTACTGGCTACACTCTCTGAGGGTACTTCAGATGCATCATTGTAATTGGCAACTTTTTCAGCCGTATCAATGCTATCACAACTAAGATAGGTCCTTTCAACACATGTTATATACAAAACAATCGTTGTATTATATAAATATAAACAAATAAATTAAGAGGAACTAAAACAAAATAAACATACCCGACAACTTTGAAAGCATGTAATCATTTATCGTATCTACATCATCGTTTCTTGGACTCAGTATGGCACAGTCTTGGAAAAATTTAGGATCAGTCTCTTTCGAAAATGAACTCCCATAAATTTCTTTGACGATCGTTTTTATAGGATCTTTACAGTATTTAATCAACAGATCATCAGGAATATCAATCACGGCTTCACCACTTCCATCGTCATTTATCGTTCCATCACCAATGTCTAAGATCCACTTTGTAAAGGCAGCTTGTTCAAGCATCGCACGGCTATTATCTCCAGCTATAAGTCGCATGTTCTGTGTAAGTCTCAACACTCTACATTTGTACCACAGAGGTGACAAATTCAAAGTGGCCATAAGTATCTCTGTCTTCCCGGCATTTGGAATCACTGGCAATATTTGCCTGAAATCACCTCCTAAAACAATGACCTTGTCACCAAAGGGCTTATCAACTTCTAATATATCACGCATCGTTCTATCTAGAGTCTCAAAACAGTCTTTAATCATCATCAACGCCTCATCCCATATAATGAGTTTAGCAATCCTTATCAGGTCGGCAAGATTCGAGTCCTTCTTGATTGAACAGAAGGTAAACTTATTAATCACGATAGGGATTGTAAATCTTGAATGCGCAGTTCGGCCTCCTTCTAATAACAACGCAGCAATCCCGCTCGATGCAACCTTAAGAACAACATCACCTTGGGAACGTAGAGCAGATCCTAATAGACTCCACAAATAAGTTTTACCAGTACCTCCAGAACCATAAACAAAGAACATACCTCCTTTGTTCTTATTTACTGCTTCTAGGATCTCATCATAAACATTTCTCTGTTCGCTGGTTACAGTGGCTAACATCTGCTCGTTTCTAACTCTAAGAGTTTCGCGATTGTAATTCCTCTCATCCCGAATAAGAGGACTATCACGTGACTCCAGAGTAATATCTTCAGGAAACGGAATAGGTGTGAATTCTTTTAAGGATCTCCCACTTACACGTAAAAGAAGTTCTATTTCGACCAGAGTAAAGTCTTTAACTTGCTCCTGAGATAGACTAACAGCTACACAATTTCAAAAAAAATTACAAAAGATAAATTAGCTATCAATATCTTAAAGATATATAATAACAACAACGCAAACAATAACTATACGACTTACTTTGATCCCTGGCAGCCTTTCTGTAATTATATATGATGTCATCTGATAATACCTGCCATGTAGCATCCCAAACTCTAGAAGGAATGGATATACTATGAGTAGTGAGCAGGATCACAAAAAGACGACGGAGATAATTGACAGAAAGCCACAATCCAGCCTCATTGATGGCCTCAATATATTCTTTGTCATCATTCAATAATCCATACGCATAGCAAGCGTCTTTGAACGAAGAATGTAGAACTTTGTTGACCGTTTTTATATCGTCAAAACTACGTGGTCCTTTGACTAAATTAAGCAGAAGCCTTAAATAATACGCTTCACCTGCCCCAATGGGTACGTACGTGATTCTACCAAGAGCAACTCTCCTTGATCGTGGCGTCCATATCCTGTTTGGGTTATTCCACACAAATCTCGTAGGAAGTTGCGCATAAGTTAACGTCCTCGCCAGTTCATACTTATCGTTGCACTCCATCCAAGCAATGAATTTTGACGTACCAACTGAGACACAATTAATAACCTCGTCACCTGGATCATCCTCGTTGTATATGACCATTTGCTGGTTCGGTAAATGAAAGGGTAGTTTAACTACAGAAACCCTGCGATGGTGAGTATGATTACCAAAAATTCTCCACGTAGACTCCGAAGGTGCTACATACCTATATAGAAAGACATTATTAAATAATGGAAGATTGGAATTTCAAAGATATAAAATATGTGAACAAAATGTTTAAAACATACCTACAGTTGAAGTGTTTCTTAATCTCGTTTTCCTTATCATCATTCTTGATAGTTGCACGGATGTAGTCAGCACCTTTATGAATATATTTGAATAGATACTTTACTGATCGAGATTGTACACACCATTCAACGTTGATATGAGCCCTATAAAGCAGTGTGAGGCTCCTATTATAAGAAACCACAAATCCATTATCACATTCAATACCCTTTTTAACGATAACTTTCTTGTCATTATGTCGCCTGTATATAGGATATCTAACATCATCTATTTTAGTGATCGGACTGAAAGGTTTTGGAAAATACTTTGTACATTTTCCTTCAGCCATGCAAACACTATCCTTATTCAAAGCACCACATGGTCCATGCATCATGACATCTCCTACTATCTCATACAGCGTGGATCAATATCCTTGTTAGGAATCTCAGCACATATTATCTTATCAATGTCATCACCAGTTGGTAGCTTGTGACCAGCCTCTAAAAAAAGAACGATGTGTGCATGAGGTAGTCCCCGTTTTTGAAACTCAATCGTGTAGATCGCTGCAACGAATAAATTGTAGTTTTTAAAAGATTAGTTAGCATGATCATCTAGCAATGGTATGGACATTATCTTGCTAAACGAAATAATATACTTAGTTTAATTAAACATACCGGCTTTTACGACATCTAACACATTTTCTTTGGTGAGTCTGTGCATGAGATCATCTAGTTTCATCTTGAACACTCGCGTACATATATCTGGCCTATCCTCTTGCTTCAAGTTATGTCTTTTTAGGTGCCTGGTAATCTCAGGCCATTTGGGATTACACGTTAAGGTTATGAAAAGATCCGGAAAACCAAAATGCTGGCAAGTAGTCATTGCATCTAGATAATGTTGCACCATATACCTTGTACCACCAGTATAAGAAGAAGGTATAATAATACGTTTACCCTTTTCAGAAAGATCAGTGTCACCTTCATCAACAGTTTTCTTTATCTTGTCATAATTTTCGCAACGAAGTTTAGACTGATTCATTGATATGAAACGTAGTCTATTAGTCTCAATCATCGTGTACGCATCCACTAAGAACTGCTGGAACAATATTCCAGATAAAGGGATGATTGGTGACTCGCCAACCCTCTCTTGTATGCGGTAAGAAAAAAACTCTCTCATAGTAATATGCAACCTTTTCCTCCCTTGGGTATCTACAAAACCAATAACGATACCAAGTCTGAACCCGTCCTCGCCATAGGAAAACAATAATGGATATTGCAAAGGCAGATACGCAGGATGTAGTACACTGATCCTTTTGAGATTCCCAGTCTTTTTACACTCGATGATGATATCACATGCATCTATCTCATGATTGAAATCATTAGGTATCAATGCAGCAACTTCATTATTAGCTGGTAGATTCTCAGTCCTTCCATCACTTTTCCTGTCACACTTTAAAATTATTCTTAACCGGCTTGTATCATCGTTAGGATCAAACTTTTCTCGAACGTTTCGTAATGCATCCACATGTTTGTTATGTTTATCTAGCATATTTTTTATTTTCTCAACAACCTTCTCTCGCAATTTATCAGTTGGTCCGGTTTTCCTATAAAATTTTTAAAATAAATTCTTATAACAGTTAGAACCACATAACAGTTAATAACAATACATATATGTTTTAAAATTGATCTCAATGATTAAATTAAATATAAACCAAAAGAATAATAATCATACCCATAAGCAGCTATTCGGTTAGATGTTTTATTTGCGGTATCATATATATATATATAGCTGTAAAAAGGCTGGTTCTTTTCCAGGAGGTGGTAGCAAATCCCCTATAGAATGGTAGTTCTCCCCACTCATCTGGAAAATGTAAGGACCTTTCCCATAGTTGATTTCTTTATTTATTTTTCCTCCCAGAGAAGTGAAAGAAACATCATATTATACGCCCGGATAAACTCACGAAAGTGATCACGCGAATCACCATCATTATACATCAATGCTAATAATAAATTCGGAGGGGTTTTAAGAAGTGGAAGAACGACTTTACCCTGACCACAACACATGGAGAATATAGGCTTCCCACGACGATATCGTTTACCCAACCTCTCTCCATACCACATATAAGCCTTACAATTACCACATATATAGGAAGGATCACCATCGTCGTAATAACCTGATTAGAATAATATTCATTGCTTAGTATTAATTACACGATAGTTATATATTATGTATTAAATGAAATATATTAGTCCAATGAAAACCATAACCTCCATCTTTCAGACCAGGGCTAACTGATTCCAATAAATCTGTTCTAGTAACAACGGTCTCGGTTGCATCCTCATCACAAAAATCAGAGGATTTAGCACGTTTTTTTTGGGTCTTCCTTTCTTTTTATTACCAGGCCTCGGTTTTTCCATATCCTCACTTTCCGACATAGAGTCTTCATCATTATCCCTATCTGACTCAGAATCAGTAGCAATAAAGCAAGCAAACTCTTCGGTGTTGATAGAAGTAGCCAAAAGATCTGTTTGTTTTTTTAATGGAAAAAATAATAAGTGTAAAACAGGCATATAATTATTAATCTACATTGTAATTACTAAAAAAGATGATCAAACCAATAGCTTCTTCTCTTTTTCTCCTCTCACGCATGATATGCATTCTTCTCTGCTGTGCATTACGAATTCCCTGGGGTGTTAGATCAGGAACTTCATTGATATTGTAACAAAACAAACCTCCAAGTTGGTCAATATCGGTTACACTGGTAGGAGTATATCGTGCGTTCTTAGCATTACCACCTACAAATTCCAGTTAATAGTAAGCAAATTTATAACACGTGAATGTTTTAAAAATGTAATTTACTTAAAATAACACCTTTATTTGGAGCAATCGACAAAGATGAACCTTTTTTCCGAGGACGCCCAAGCTTACTTTTCATTTTTTTCTGGTGAATAGCACGAAAAATAAAATTGTGTTATCTAAATACACAATCATTAACAAACTATATATATATATATATAATATTATATTACGCGATAATGCAAAATATACATTTTAGCTTCTCATAATAAAATAATATTTTGGTAATAAAAGGAATTTCGAAATAGAAAACCTCACGATAATGTTAACATTACTTATTTTTCGCGATAATATGCCTATCTTCTCTAATGCACCATAATACTCCAATATCGAAAATTTACATTTTTCGTGATAGTGTTAAAATACTATTGAAATACTTCTACATTACAATAACGCGGACCTATAAATAATTATTTATTATTCCAAATATGCAGAGTTAATCCTAAAAATATACCTCTACATTACAACAAATATATTATCCTAATATTTTTATGAAAACCGAAAAGACTATCGTTATATTTCTTAGAACTTGAATATTATCCCAAAAAATATGGTTATTTAACATATCATCTCAATAAGTTATATCACATATTTTTTCGTGGACAATTATACTATAATTCGTTACGCAGGCGTTTTGGGGATAACTGTGAACATCGAAATCCATACATGAAAATAATAATTAAAAAATATTATTTTCATACACTGCCTCAAAAGTCAGATTTTATTCAAATCACATACGATGTTTAACACAAACCATAAAACCTAAAAATAAAAATTGATATAAAATAATTCCAAAACATTAGCACGGAACTCGTAACATCAGGGTCTAACGACTGAATATCAACTCTCGAAACTGATTGACCTCAAAGCATGGCGAATTTAGAATAACTTGTGTGCAATCATACGACATAGTTGCCAAGAAACACCCTGTATTATCGAACAAACGAAAATCAAATCATATTTGTCGCATATGCTGTACAACCATCTCATATCAAAAAATAAAAATACATTGTCGAACAATTATCTTCGCAAAACGAATGATGCAAATAATGACATCTTGTTTACATCCACCCAACTCACGAAGAAAAGTTTCAGCATAATCACCTTTCGAAAAACATGATAAACGTCGATTCCTAAAGTTTCCCATCAAACAAATATCAGTCTGAATTAAACTTAAAAATTCGGTTTTTAAATTCTATTAACATAAAATAGATTACTTTTCGTTTTCGAGATCGAATCTTATTATAGTCTGTCTAGAGTATCCTAAGGATCCAATTCTATCGTGAGAGTTTCCAACGTTGACAACCTTACCGATTAAATCTGTTTTTTAAGAAAAAAATGAATATCAATTAATCAATATAGTAATTGAATGACAAATCAGTAATGAAAAATACACCGAATACTCACCCACACAGAAGTTAAAATCAATAGTCCCATTCATAATATCTTCGAAAACAACGAACGAAAAATAACCATTGATATCTAAAGTATAAGAGCTTGCACATGTTGTATCACTGGTAAGTTGGATCATATAAGGATGTGTACTTGGCTTAAATTCACCAGTAAGAGGCAATAGATTAAAATTTATTAGAAGAACCCAATCTCCCTCGTTACATATCCTCGAATACTTATCATAAATTTCAATCGGTGCAGTTACATAAATCTTCTGTCCCTGAAAAGTAAAGACTCAAACATTCAAACATTTATCATTACAAAAACTAAAATATAATCATGAAATTGATGTGTTATACCTTCCAATCCCCCATTATAAAGTCTAACGTGCGGTCACATTCAGGAAATCTTTTAAATTTCCGTAAGCCTTTTAGTCTTCCATATATGCTTGGTAGGATCAAGTTCGGAAATTCCAAACAGATTTTGATCATATTTTTTATGTACGGCGATAGATAGGAGATAAGCCATTTAAGTTAAACGCAAACCCAGAGCGTCAAATCAATTACAACGATTACGTCCAAAGGTACCTTAAATAAACATAGCATAGACAATATTTAAACCAAACTTTTATTTCTTATTTATACAATTTAAAATAAAATGATATATCGAATATTTTACATTTTTGAGATACCTTAATGCTTATTTTACATTTTAGGATAACATACTACTTTGATAGAAAATATCATCTCTTGATACATTCCTTCCAGATCGGGATCACAGGGATACCCTTTCCGATTTGTATTAGGGATCTATTATATTATGTTATTATAATTATAACAATTTTCCGATTTGTATTAGGAATATATCGGAGGTGAGCCATTTGCATCATTATATATAAAAACGATGTATTAGCATTACCGAGTTATATATGACGACTACTTTTTAGGTTTTATAGGCACTACATCATGTCGATCGCTGCTTGTCTTTTAGCAATAAAAAACATGACTTACACCAATGTCTCCGATATAACTCCATCAAATCAACTAACGTATTCGTGTGAAAATACTGCGTATTTTCGAGCACATCGGTGAACCTGACAACACTCTAGATTTGGTGTTGGTTGATAAAAAAGGTATTCCGGTGACTCTATATGTTCCGTGCATATCACTTCTCTGATATACATATTTTTGTTTTTATAGGGTGATAAAATACATGGATCAATATCAAAAGGGTTTATAGACAGTTTTACATCAGAAGTGAAGCAGGGAGATTCAATTATTCTGTATCGTTTTGGTGTAGTCCCTGTCATCGGAGACTTGAGGCCGACGTTGCACAATTATAAAATAATATGGAATTCTCAAACTTATTTTTCAAAGATCCCTTTCTATGATAACAACAACTACCTAAGTATTTTTGAATTTGGTAACATACACAACAATCTCCGAGACCCATTGTTTTTCGTTGGTATGACTTTAGATAAATTAATAAATAATAACAAAAAATATGTTATTTTATATCTATAAACTTTCTCAATGACTAACTAATCTTTTTATTAGATATAATTGGACACGTCGCAGTGATTGGAACATTTAGTCACAAATCATCCAAGAGCCAAAGAAAGTGGGGTGATGTTTACGTGGAGCTCCGTAACGAATCGTAAGTTTTTAAAATATGTTTCTCAATTGCAATCACTGTAATTATAAATTTTTACTACATTATATGATTATTATATGCCCAACAGAGATGCTAGATTGCAAGTGTTATTATGGAACGACTATGCACTGGACATGATGACTGCTTTATCACGGAAAAAACACAAAATTAACATTTGTGTTATACGATTCGTCCAACAGTTCAAATTTGCACATGGTTGGGCAGCGATAACCGCATACGATTGTACCGAAATTTTATTAAACCCTAACCTACCCGAAGTCGAGAGAATGCGGACCACAATCACAGAATCAGACGATAGTGTTATATTAAGTTTTTGAATAGTTTTTTTTCTTTTCGTATGTTTGGTTTTCTTTTTTATTTATGTTTTCATCATTTGATTCAATAAACGATGGTACTATATCAAAACTATGCTTATATTATTCTTTTCGTATACCTTATTTTCTTCCATTTTTAAAATATATGTTTATTATATATATACATATGTATTTTCATAGTAAAATATTATCATACTTTTAAATCAACAGCGGTATCAATGGACTATGAACACAATTTTGCATCGAAAACAAAAAGTGACACTCATTGTAAATCAAAAACAATACGCTAAAATGAGATGCTTTGCAAAACAGGTGAAGTTTATAGATATTGAATAATTTATTTATTACAGTAAAAATAAAAAATAGATATGTTGTTCAAGTACACAACCTATAAAAAACGATATAAAAAATTAATATCTCCTACGGATACTGATCTTCATATCCATCATCCAAAGGGGTAAAATCAACTGAAGTTTCAAGCCTGGAACAATATGGCAATATTATAAAATCATAAAATAGATGTCAATAGAATACATATACACAATATAACATCAGAGATGTAATTTACATACCTCATCTTTGCTATTGCCACTTCTGGAGTAGGAGGATCCTCGAGAATATCAGATATGAATCTTTCCGATTCAACTATCCACTCATCTAATTATATATACATATTCAGTACGCATATGGAAACAATAAATTTGTTAAACTTCTGATTAATTGCTGTAATGAATAGATATTAATAGTTAATATTTACGTACCTCTCCACCTATTGAAAGAGAAAAATCGCAATACAATAATATGCCTTGAAGACCTATCACGATTCGTCCAAAGTTCTTCAAATTTTATTGCCAAGTTATCCCAAGCAATACATTTCAATTTCCACTGTATATATTTACACCAACATAGAAGATAATTAACATATTTTAATATTTCAAGAAACCCAAGTCTGACACCAGATATTCTGAGGTAAGTTGTACTTACCCGAGATCTTCAAGTACAAAACGAATAAGTGGACGTTCTGTGGGTGTATCCGATGTATCGGACATATGAACTCCTCTTTGAAGTTTCTGAACAAAAGTGACAATCCCGAGAAGATCAACTGCAAAATTAAACAACTAAGTTAGAAAAAAATCATTTCTCAGTTAATGAGATAAACCAAGATAATAACATGCATGTAAGAAACTTACCAAGATATCGGTCTGTTTGAATCGACGCAAACAAAATATCTATGAATGCACAGAAAGAGTTTATTTCTTTGGAAGACTTCAGATCGGTTTTCTCAGTGATTGTATCCTCGTTGAAACGTATATGACAGTTGTTTGATGATATACTTGGATGTGGTAATCTGTCGGTAACTACAAAATTACCAAGAAAATACCACTCTCCTTCGAGCAATACATACTCGAATTTGTCAAGTATTTCAAATGGCATGGTACACAGGATGCGATTGTCCTACACAGTTTTAGTAAAAAAGAATCAATAAACGATTACATTCCCAAAACATGAACAGGGATAATCTTTTAAAATCTCATAAACTTACAAATTCATCAGCGAGAACTAACATCCGATTAGGGCAACCAATGAGAGTAAAATCATAATAATTTCTAACTACTTGGACACAAATACATTGCCCGCTGTTTGTCTTCTGAAGTTCAGAAACTCTATTACATGGAGACATTCATTATTTTTATTTAGT